CTGAAAGATCGCACAAAGTCGACGAGTTTTTAAAGTTTCGGTTTACTATCGGAGCGCATCTCAGCCCCGGCGGCACCGCGCCCCGTGAAGAGATAGTGCAACCAACTTCTGCTGCGCTGTCATCGCGCGACGCAGCAGAGGCTCGTTGCACAACGGCCAGGCGGCGCCAGCAGGGTAAGAGCGCACGGTTATACCCTGTCTCGTTGTAACTTGGCAAAGGCTAAACGATAAGCCCAACATTGCCCGCCAAAGGCTTCGAAATGCGCGACGTATACGAGCGCAACCCGCACATAGTGGAGCATGACGCAGCGAAAAGGCTGATACTTCTCCGGAGTTGAGGCGCGCTCCGGTGATAGGCAGTCACGTTCCGATTGGCCCGCCAGGGCCGTAGCTTCCGCTCTACTGGCACCTTACGCGATCACGGCTTCCTGGGATATCCAGCATTTCTTGCTTCAGACTCTAGGCTAAGCGGCGCCACCAGAGTAAAAGCTCACGTTTGAACAATGCAGCCGCCACTCCCAGGGGTACCCAGCATTTCTTGTTTCAGTCGCTAGATGGCGCCAAACCAAACAACATTGCAGTTTGCCTATCTCCTAATGGGGCTTATGCTTCCCTACGATCAAGAAAAAAGATGGGTCGTGGAGGTTTTGCGTAGATTACGGACGCCTAAATAATGTCACCAAAAAAGACGTCTATCCTCTACCACGAATCGACGAAGCTTTAGACAGCTTACAAGAATCCGAATATTTTTCCTCTTCCGACCTTTGATCCGGATATTGGCAGATACCAATATATGACCAAGATCAAGAGAAAACAGCCTCTATAACTCCCGACGGTCAATATGAATTCAAAGTCCTTCCGTTTGGTTTAAGCAACGCTCCTGCCACGTTCGAGACGATGATGGATGTTTTATTGAGGGGTTTAAGATGGCAAACATGCCTATGCTATTTAGATGATGTTGTCATCTTCTCTGCGACATTTAAAGAGCACCTCTTACGATTGCAATCCGTCCTAGAATGCATTAAGACAGCGGGTCTCCAACTTAATACTAAGAAATGCCATCTTGCTTGCCGCGAAATTCAGATCTTGGGTCACACCGTCAGCGCAGACAACATTCGTCCTGACCCCGACAAGACAAGAGCTGTCTCGGAATTTCCCCGGCCACTCAACGTTAAACAACTGAAAAGCTTTTTGGGCCTCTGCTCATACTTCCGTCGCTTTATCTAAGATATCACTGACGTGCAGCACCTCTAAATCGCCTTCTCTCAAAGGATACAGCATTCGAATGGACGAAAGACCAAGTGAACTCTTTCAAATCCTTAAAGCTCACCCTGACAAATGACCCAATGCTATGCCATTTTGACCCCCGCTCTCCCACAGAAATACATTCAGACGCAAGCGGATATGAAATTGGTGCTGTCCTCATCCAGAAGAAACATGACAAGGAACAGGTCATCGCGTATCCTAGCCGCACGCTCACTAGAGCGGAGGTAAACTACTCTACAACAGAGAAGTGTGTTTAGCTGTAATATGGGCCATAACCAAGTTTCGACCGTACTTATTTGGGTGACGCTTTCGAGTAGTGACTGATGACCACGCTCTCTGCTGGTTGACCAACATAAAAGACCCATCAGGACGTCTCGCTAGATGGTCACTTCGTCACAGGAGTATGATATCAAGATAGTTTATAAGGCAGGCTAGGCTCACCAAGATGCCGACGCTTTGTCCCGCTGCCCTCTACAACCAACCACCACCGATGACGCGGATACCACCGAGATCCCTGTTCAAGCCTTATCCCCCTAAATGGACATCGCGACGGAACAACGTAACGATCCGAAATTGCGGAGTATCATCCGACTCTTACTGCATCCTTTGCCACGGAGCAGAGCAGCGAAAATGGAACGTATGTATGCAATTGTCGGCAGAGTTCTATATCTTCGCAATTTTGAACCGACAGGAAAATCCCTGCTTTTCATGATCCCGCGACATTTACGCTCTGATGTACTTCGTTCCCTTCATGATTATTCGACTGCCGGACATTTGGGTGCGTTTCGAACATACAACCGCGCCCGCTCTCGTTTTTCCTGATTTGGCTTATACAAAAATGTGCACAGATACGTCACATTATGTGAAGCTTGCCAGCGCAGAAAAACTCCTACCCTCGCTCCTGCGGGCTATCTGCATCCCATTCAGCCTCCTAGCCACCCATTTGAGACTGTTGGAATTGTTCTCCTTGGCCCTTTTCCTGAGTCAACACACAAAAAACGATGGATAATCGTCGCCGTCGACCATTTGTCGCGATACGTAGAAACCCAGGCTCTCACGGCACCAAATGCAGAACAGGTGGCCTCGTTTTTTCTCTACAATTTTGTTCTGCGACACGGATTTCCTAGAAAACTCGTGAGCGACCGAGGGCGCGTCTTTTTATCTACAGTCATTCAGCACCTCCTTCGGTATTGTTGCACAATCCATCGCACCACAACTGCCTACCACCCTCAAGCAAATGGGATGACTGAACGCTTTAATCGAACCCTCGCCTCGATGCTAGCAATGTACATTTCCAATAATCATGACAACTGGGATCAAGTTTTGCCGTTTGTTACTTATGCTTACAACACGGCCATCCATGAAACTACCCACTATTCTCCATTTTACTTAGTCTACGTTTGGGACGTAGTAACGCCCCTAGACACGATCCTTCTAAGCGTTTCCGAACCATGATCTGACTACGTACAAGACGTTCTTCACCGGGCAGAAGAGTCCCGCCAACTCGGTCAACACCGCACATTTGCTTCTCAGCAGACACAGGTCATCCGTTATAACGACAAGCACAGACAAGTTAACTACTCCGTCGGCGATCTTATTTTAGTCTGGTCACCCGTTCGTGTTGTTGGACGTTCAGAAAAACTTCTCTCCCGGTATTTTGGACCATACCGAATCACACGACAGACATCTGACGTCAACTACGAAATAGGACGTGTGACGCCTATTCCAGACAATAGTTCACGGGAAGAAGGATTTCGTCCATGTGTCTTGAATGAAACCATACACCTTGCGCTCCGATCACGACAACTTTCTTCAACCCGTACCTTCGCCTTCTCCAGAGGAGGGGGGTAGTGTTACGGTTAGACCGCAATCACATAATTTGGTTATACAAAGAACGACGAAGTAGCCACGGGGATAAGGAAGAGGAAGTTGGTCGTAAATAAAAGGCCGAACTGACAAGACCTGGTTGCCGTGTCTTCCAAGTCCTTTCACACGCTATTAACATATATGTATATATATATATATATATATATATATATATATATATATATATATATATATATATATATATATATATATATATATATATATATATATATATATAAGATAGAGATCCGTACTTGCGGAGTTGCTATGCTAGGAGTTTATTTTATGTAAAACGACAGTTTCGCCGAGAGGCTTGGCTTCGTCAGGAGATAGCATATATGTGTTAAGCCCGGAACACACTCAAATTCAAGACATGTATTCCATCTCGTGACAAAGCCGAGCCTCTCGGCGAAACTGTCGTTTTACATAAACTAAACTCCTAGCATAGCAACTCTGCAAGTACGGATCTCTGACTTATTACATTTTCCTGGTCCATTGTTCTCAAACTGCTTTGCCTCACCTATATATATATATATATATATATAGCGAAACTACTGTTTTGTAGGACGACGAAAAGTGTATAGGAAAGTGAATGTACTGCGAATCTTTTAGTGGGGTTTTACGACATATTGGTCGACGTTTAGGCCTGAGTCCGGCCTTCATCATAACTGGTTACAAAACATTCTTCGTCGTCGGAACTCGAGACCTCCGAGCCCGGTCACGTGTCACGTCACGTGCATGCCTCATTTAAAGCACAAGAGGTGGCCCCTTACTTTGGGCAGGAGGTCGGGAGTAAAGGCCCAATCACACATCAGCAACGAAATAGGACCGACTAAGACAAGGCCGGTTTTCGAGCTCCTTGCGACGGCTTAGGACCGGATGCGGCGCCGCGGAGCAGGCCCTAAGCCGTCGAGATAGGCTTAGAAACCGGTCTCTCAGCCGGTCCTATTCGGTTGCTGCAGTGTGGGAACAGGCCTTGAGCTGCTGGCAGCTAAACTCAACACAAGGTCAAGGAGGGAGGCTCCGCCGCAAGGTTAAGCCCGGAACACACTCTTAAAAAACGCAAACAAGTTTCCCAACCCCCTCACTCAAAAGAGAAGGACAAAAATTGTGTCAGCTATAATCATTGACACTCAACAAAAGGCAAAAACAAGCCAAAAATAAACCTTAATCGCATTATACCAAGCCAATGAGTCGTACCGCGTACGAGTCTGATAAGCCGGACTGCCATCGCCGTATCGTCAAAGAGCGCGCGCTGTCTACGATAAAAAAATACTCTTAGGGCTATTTAGTTCCGAGTTTCGAAAATCGAGAGCGAAACACCGCGTTCATAAAACTTACACCGTCACAGCTGCAAATTTTTCAAAATGAATGTACAGTAACATTGGTACTTCTTGGTTTTGCGGTTGATTCGATTATCATCCTGTTCCGCTACTGCTAGCTTTGCGCCTGCTGCACGAGTGATAACTTTGGCGCGCCCCGAATTTCCCACGAGCTTCAAGTCGTTCTAAAAAGAGCTTATTTAGTGGTTTTTGATGACGCTTAGTAAGTTTCTGATGGGAATCATATGTCTCTTTTCACTAATTACGAAGTTCAGTAACGATTTTTTTATTAATTAGCCGACTTATCGCAAAGATTAGCCACCCACCTAATGTCACCCTGGCCGTATACCTCACCTACAGAAACAGTATTGGTGCATTTTTTACGGATTTTTTTTCTAATAAATTTGTACGAATTAAAATTGAACACCCGGCATACTGTATATATATATATATATATATATATATATATATATATATATAACAATCACGTATTTTCGGTTTTTTCTTTTTTGCACGCGTTTTGGCTCTTGCGTTTTTTGTTTGCAGCGATACCAGAAAGGGCGCTCTGGAGATCATGGAACGCGCCCGTCGAGCAGTCAGAAAGGTGGTTCCCTGCGACGTCCTGGACCCCGCCGTGCTCCCAGAGGACCATCGGGACACCTTCGACGTCGTCCTCTCTTGCAACTGCTTGGAGTCTGCAACGGCCGACCTGCAGTCCTACCGGCGAGCGTTGTCCAACGTGGGCCGTTTGGTGACCAGAGGCGGTCTGCTCGTCCAAGCCGGGGTGGGAGGCATCACTTCGCACAGGGTTGGCCAAGAGACCGTCCCGATGACGTGTCTTGACGAGAGCAGCATCATGGAGGCTCTCGCTGACGCTGGATTCAGGGTGGAGACGTTTCGGAAGAAAATGTACGACGGGCCAGACTGTAAAGCGCGTGGCAAACGATTTGGATTCGTTTTGGCGGCGACTAGACTTTGATACGTGTTTATTGAACCTCTTGAATCTATCGATACAATAGATGCACGTGGACAGAAGTGAAGGAAAAAAGGAAGAGGAAGCCATTTATTTGTTTGTGAGCGAATTAAAAAAGTAATATTAAAGAATTATACAAGCCCCGTGCGTATTTCTTTCTTTATTTATTTATTTCAGAATACTATCGGTCTCTTTTGAGGCTATGATAGGGTGAGTATACAAGTCTACAAGAAAACAACATTAACAAGGGCAGCACAAACTTGAAAAGGTGCTACAAATGATATCACTAAATACTCACGCAAAAAATGCTCTGACAATAACAAATAAAAATGAGATCCGTCATCTGCTAGAATGCGTTGACGGTAAACATAACACACAAAACATATTTCAGATTTGCGATGTGAGATATAAGAAGAAAAAGCTTAAATTGATTGTAATACCACAGCTTGATACAAAGCAATATTGTAGTCACTTTTGGTTTGTGGAAGGAATGAGTATCTAACAGTCCTTGCAGAACCGGGGCTGATAAAGTGTGTTTGTTCCGAGTTACTCTCGATTCGTCAGCAAGTAGGTAAGCTGTTTTTTTCTGTCTGCAATAAGTCATTAATAATCTTCTATATAAATTTCAATCATTTTTCTTTACGCCTTCACATTATGCAGTTGAATGTTGGCTTTTGAATACAGTTCCATACTTGAATCCAGTAGACGATATATTGCAAAACTAAAACGCACAACAAGTACTTGCACGTTTTCTAGTTTTGACACTTCTTTAATATTATGAAAATCCCAGATTTTTCATGCATATTCTATCAACGGACGAATGAGTGTCTTATAAGCCAAAGGTTATGCTTTAATTGAAATTAGTTTCAAAGACCACCTTGAACACGACAATCTATAATTCGCTTCTTTTACAATACCATCAATATGAGCACTCTAACAAAGATCGTAAAAAATAGTTACGCCCAGATAGTCGTAACTGCCTACCCTTGTTAGTAGATACCCTTCGACAATGTAGGTAAATGATATGGGCTTTGACTCAATCACTGGATGCAGTCGAGGCGATTCGCCTCCTTGTATTTTACATCTTGGGTTTTTCCTCAATACGCCGCTTCATTGACTGGAAACAAACTGTTTTTGGGAGGCAACATGCAGATGTAATGATGATGGTGGTGCAGTTACTTCTGAGACAATTCAATACGCTGGGCCGGTTCAAGGTATCCCCAGGCTTACAAGACTAGGCAGATAGTGAGGATCACGGGGCCGACATAGAGGTTGTTCCTTTGTGACCATGATAGGAAACACAATTTGAGTTGTGGGCCTCTACTGGCATTTGAGTCTCGGCCAAATCGTCAAAATTCAATTCGTCGAAGAGAAATTGGTCGAATTGGTTCATTCGAAGTAGGGTGCTCGTTGAGGGGCGATTCGTCGAAAAGTCCAACTTGGCGTCGCTCGTCTAAAAGGCCATTCGGTCGCTGCATTGCATTTAGCTCCTGTCTCAGAACACAGGTGCATGTTAGAAATTACATGTTCACAAACTCCATTACAAGCAAACAAGATAAGACCAAACTCGAACTTTGATCATGTCAAATAGTCTAGAAGAAGCTAGCCGGTGGCCCTTATCAGGTGCGGCAAACCACCTCATAACCAGCTACCATTCAAAAGACTGAAACTGAAAATTGTTCATGACGAACAAAACCCGAAGTAGGAGAAAAACTTGACAATGCACGGTTGTTCCCAAACTACGCAGAAATTCATATAAAAATTAAAATTATATATAAATTCCAACAACAATCGGCAGAAAAAAAAAGCTTACGCAATTACAAGAAAAGGAAAGAGAAAGGACAAAAACATCTCCTTCCCACGGGCCTTCAACTAAACGAAAATAAGGTGAAAGTAACGAGGAGGATAATGGTGGCATGACACATTTCTCCACTTCTCTCAACATCTAATTCTGTCTTCACCCTCTTGTGAGGTCCCTTTCAACTCGGTAATTTGGGGGGCCATGTTCGACAAATGTTTTGTTTCTCCTAAAAAGAGACGGACGTGACAGAAGTGATGATATCGCGTCTGAGTGGTTAGAAGCTCAAAAGACGGAAGGTCCGTCTTTCGTCATTTGAGCTTCTAACCAATCGGACGCAATATTGTCACCTTCGTTTCTTTTTAGGAGAAACGAAACATTTCTCGAACATAGCTCCCCTGATCAGGACATTTTTCTTCAATGAAAAGAAATGAAACTTGAGGGTAAAAGAGAGCAAGAAACAGGCTTTACCTTGTACTATCTACTTAACAATTCGACAAATCACATTTCCACAGGTTACCCCTTTCGACGAATTGCCCTTCGACAAGTTGCCCTGTATAAATTGGCCCATTCGAGCAATTGCCCCTTGTCGAGTTGTCTCTCAACAAATTGGTTGGATCTCCTGGCGCCTCGATAGACTTAAGGGGATGCAAATCTTCTTGCAAACAATCTCTGAAGAAAGAGCAGAGATGTGTGCGTGTGAGACAAACTATTCACTTTAGACAGATTGTCAAAGGTCATGAGTGGTGCAGAAAAATTTTGATGAGTGTAGGCAGCTTCTGGTGTGCCTCTGAAACTTTTGCGAGTTTTGCAGGCAAGTGCTACCGAATTGAGTGCTAGGGTTTTTACATGCAGTTGTGTTATCATTTCTGCTTCTTAATATCTCAATGCCACAAAAGAGCAGCTTGAGCAATTTAATTGTGGAGCACTGCAGGCCTCCTCACATACGCCACCGAATGCAAGAAACATTAACCCTAAAGATCACAATTGCAGGTGCGCTTGCCGGTCCGTTCTAGCCTCCCTGAAACGTGGCATGTTCTAAAAATGTCACTCACTAGCACCAAGTCCTAAATTGAACAAAACACAATATGGTGTTGTACCGAACATATTCACTAGGAACTGCTGGGACTACATCATGCATTGCTTTATCAGTTTTGAAATGTGTCAATAACAACTCAAGTTGTGGCTTAAAGGTGTATCCAGCGAGGAAACAAATGTTGGCTGAATAGGCTAGCACCCAGTTTCCCATCACTATGAGCTCCCTACATACAAGATAAACTCCGCCTTTTACGTAAGACGAGTTGGCTCGTAATGAGATTTTGTTGACCCCCGAACTGTACTGTGAAGAAAAAAAATCGACCATGGCTTATGCTTTATATTTATTACCGCTGCAACATACATATACAGTAACTTTACAACAACAGCATACAAATGTTAAACTACTTCCCGTTTGATGACAACTTCCCTACCGTTATACAAGTCCAGAGCACAGTGTAGGGTGTCGTCATCTTCAGCCTCCACAAGTTTTCGGTCGCTAGACCAACCCACATTGTAGCAGAACCTGTGTCTGTCAAACCCTTCATTGGTCAACATCTCAACCAAGATTAGCAGTCTGCCTGAGGCAAGATATAAAGCTTCAACTTTCCAAAATTCTGGCCCAACATTTTGTGCAGCTGTGACAAAGAATTTCACCACACCTGCAGCTGCGGTGGTCTACTGCTGCGTGTGTCACCTAGTGTGCATCCAATGGTAGCACTCCCTGATCACAAGCCGGCAGGGCACTCTGCTCGGCCGGTTTGTCAGACGAGACCATGAGTTGAGCGGCCAACGACATATCCTTGAGCTGGTGCCTTTGCAGCAGTTGATGTAGTTTCGATAACGTCAGTATTACATTTCGGAAGTTTTAGATAAGCGAGGCAAGGCTCTTGAGGTATTAAAGCTTGTCCTCAAACCGAATGAACCAAAACTGTGGCAGAGGTCCAACTTCACGGATGAACCTTGCATAATGCACAAGAAAATGCAGCTTGGGAATTATAGCTGCAGTTCTGTATCGCTGTGGGAACTCCACAAGAAAAGCCTGCACAGCCGTTTTCAAGTAAGAAAGATATTCACTGGGAATGACTGTGGCAAAACAGATGCCTACAATTTCACGGAACTGAAGGTATAATTCCCAGTCAGCATTCTCTTCTGGCACCAGGTCACAAAGGAATATGCTCAGGAGCCTGAGAACACACCACCTCTCAGTTTTGGTGGCTTTCAGGCTCGCTTTGAGAGTCAAGAAGAACCTGTAAATTGCAAGAGGTTTGTTTTTGTTGCCGTGTGCCCCATACTGTAACGAAGCGTTGCGATTCAAATCACTGGATGATAATACGTCACCATCGAAGAGCGCATTAGAACTGGCCGAAGCACACACTCAAACCCTCCTTCCATAATGTCATGCAGGAGGTTAGAGACAAGTTGTAGCGTCACATCAAAATATGGCAGTTCCAGCATGGGAGAGCGTTCATTCACGCCATACTGTTTCTTGTTGGCCTTGGGGTTCAGAGCGACGGCCTGCAGGTGTCGCTCATGAGCTTAAGCTGTACGTAGGGTACAAAAGTCGTCTGTGGTTAGCTCTGACAGACGTTTAGAAGGTGTTATACAGAAGCGGCACACCCTGCCTCGACTAAAGCAGCACGTGAATTTTCCAAAGCGATTCATGGAAAGGCACTCACTGCAAGCACAAAACGCGAAGACCTGTGCATTCTGTAGTTCTCTTCTGTTAATGAACCTTACTCGACACATTCCTAGTTCGTTTATATCCTCAATCAACGGGCTCAGAACACTCTCCAGGCCATAGGCCTGAACGTCATCATGCTTGGCAAGAAGCACCAAGTGGATAAATCGCCACTTGGACCTGAGTTTCGCTTGGAGGTTTAGTAGGGTAAAATATACTGCCATTAGTTTATGCACCCAACTCTTCGCCTCTAATGGGTTGCAGATTTCAACCTCCTCAATCTACAGCAGGATAAAGATGGCGTACTGGGTGAAATCGGGAATGAGGTCCTTGATGCTTTGAAACAAGGGATCATCCGTATAGTCTTTCTACACATTAGAATCGTCGCAGATCTAACTTTTCTACTCGTTCGTCGTCATTCGTCGAAGATTTTTAATACCCTGTGTAAGGGTTGAGAGACTTGCCGTTGAGGACACGTCGAAATTTTTACGG